TTGGCATCAGAGTTGCACGCTTGCTTAAGGCCCAACGCACACACCGCCGAGGGCAAAACACCGGAACGTGGAGCGAAAGCATGTTTCGCTCCACGTTCGCCGGTGTTTTGGCTCGGGTGTGTGCGTTGGAGGCATTAGTAAGATTGGTACAGGGGCTCCACAATGATCGTGTTGTCGTCATTTAAAGCACCGTCAAACGCTCTTGTTGGCGGTGCATGCGTTCTCAGCAACGGCGCTCGTGCCTGAGCAGGCGCGCCAACCTGTTACATTTAATTAGTAGGCGTGTTAAGCGCGGAATGAATTACCGGCGCTAAATAGTTAATGTTGGCTTGTGCGTGAAGCGGGACTAAACCGCGGCGCGTTTGGTTGGGCTGAACCCCCTGCTTCTGGGCAGTCCGTATTGTGGCGTGGCTTGCGTGGCGTGGGCGTGGCCGTGCGTGTGTTCCGCGCAAAGCGTGGCGTGTGTGTGTGTGTGTGTGTGTGTGTGTGTGTTGTTGTTGTGTGCTGTGTGGGTGTGCGTGTGTGTGGTGTGTGTGTGCGCAGTGTGTGCGTGTGTGTGTGTGTGTGTGTGTGTGTGGGTGTGTGTGTGTGTGTGGTGTGGTGGTGTGTGGTGTGTGCGTGTGTGTGTGTACGTGTGTGTGTGTTGTGTGTGTGTGTGTGTGTGTGTGGGTGTGTGTGTGTGTGTATGTGTGTTGTGTGTGTGTGTGTTGTGTGGTTGTGTGTGTGTGTGTGTGTGTGTGTGTGTGTGTGTGTGTGTGTGTGCGTCTGCGTACGTGCGTGCGCCAGACCTGCGCTTTGCACTTGAGCTTACTGCCGGCAAGTAGTAAGCAAATTGTCGCTCGTGCCAATAGCTTTTCTGGCGCAATCGCAATCCAGAAGCGTATGCCGGTGACAAGTGTTACGCTTGTGTGACATGCGTTATAATTCATGTAACCCTTCCTCATCGATACGGATTTCTCATCTATTATTTCGTAGGCAGTTCGCTTATGTGTGTTATTGTGGGTTAATATTGGCTATTGTGAGCACCGTGTTATCACGGTGCTACATCTTATCATTCCGGCACCACTTATCATTTGCTTCTGTCCGCCACAAGCCCTTCCCCCCGTAGCCTACCAAGTAACTACACTTGTTTTTAACTCGTTCATTTGTTAAGAATATTTTTTCTAGAGTGCTATTAAAATTAAACGCTTAGGTTCGTTTCTCTGGCTGTAATGGAGTTTGAAGCTCGGCTCGGTAATGGCGCAACTATACTAATTACAGAGTAATTAGAGTGGACTGTGAACGGCTGTTTCGCGCACAGTTTGGTAATTAAAACGTTATTCATAACAATTACTACGTGCTGGTCTTCTTTCTTAGTCTCAAAGCGCCAAATGGATGTTGCTCGATGATGAACGATATGCACACACCACACCTCCACACGCACACACCAACACCACAATCGCTCACACAGCACGCGCAGCACACACAGCACACACACAACACACACAGCACACAGGCACACAGCGACCACACACACACACACACACACGCACAACGACGCAATATATATAATCGAGAGAAGAGAGTACCAGAGAGAGAGAGGAGAGAGAGAGAGAGAGAAGACGAAGGAGAGAGAGAGAGAAAGAAAGAGAGAGAGAGAGAGAGAGAGAGGAGAGAGAGAAGAGAGAGAGAGAGAGAGTTAGCGCGCGCAAGGATGACAAGACGTGAGGAAATGTATATGGTGTGACGGGGACGAGCTCGAAATTGCATTATCCTATATTATTTAGCAGATGTCCTGGCAGGTGTGGTGCGCAACTTGTCAATTATATAATGCAGAACTCGAATCGTAATCCCTCCCCAAACGGTCACCTACATATTGCACCAGGAAAGAATTATGCTTCACCAGCGATTGAGAATGATTATTGCACGTAAACCGCTCGGCACGTTTTCACATCTAGCAGCAGTACAAGCATATATATACATATATATATATATATATATAATACATAATTTATCGGCGCACACGCGGCCACCTGATGCAATAACGATGCGGGCAGAGCTGGCGCTAAACACTATTAAGTACAGCAACACGTGTCTCGCATTACACCCCTCGGGAGGATGATTGATGGATCGCATACTTATATCTCTACCGCGAGACAGATGAACGCAGTTACTACCTGTATTACCTCGCACTAATGAGGTTTAGACTGCACGACGAAGCGCTCGTCGTCGATTACTGTATAGGCCGTATTTTTCGCGTACAGATATTTTCGCATTCAGACTTGACGGACGATTTCGCGAGTGGTTAATTTCGCGGTCGGTGAATTATGAATTATTCGGTAAGAATTATTCGCATGTTGTTATTTTCGCGGTCGGGGACGCGTTCGCGAAATTAGGGAAAGTAAACCACCGCGAAATATACGGCTTATACAGTATATTGCGGATTTTCCCCCTCAGCGCCATCTTGTGCGCGTCGAATATGATTCACATTCTCGATTCAGCTGTTGATAATTTCATCGTGTTCGCGTGTCGTCACTATTCACTATTCACGGCTACTATAATACTATAATACCTTACTTTATATAATACTATACTAATAATACGTTATAATACGTGTAATACGTTATAATACATATAATACGTTATTATTTACGGCTATATGTCGCTATCTGCTATACAAAATAGTTGAAAATACCAGTTGGATTTTTTTCGTTTTGTTCTGATTTCATCGTAGGGCATAGCGCATCTGCGACCGTGTTGCTGCTCTTGTTTTCGTAACTGGCATTATTACGGGGTTGTTTGCTTTTCTTATATGCGCAGCCATAACCCTCTACCCTCTATATAACCACGCTGTGTGTGTTCTATGTTGCAGGCTGGTGCTGCTGCTGTGTGTAACCCTCTATATAACCACACGCTGTGTGTAACCCTCTATATAACCACACGCTGTGTGTTCTATGTTGCAGGCTGGTGCTGCTGCTGTGTGTAACCCTCTATATAACCACACGCTGTGTGTAACCCTCTATATAACCACACGCTGTGTGTAACCCTCTATATAACCACACGCTGTGTGTAACCCTCTATATAACCACACGCTGTGTGTGTAACCCTCTATATAACCACACGCTGTGTGTAACCCTCTATATAACCACACGCTGTGTGTAACCCTCTATATAACCACACGATGTGTGTTTAACCCTCTATATAACCACACGCTGTGTGTTTAACCCTCTATATAACCACACGCTGTGTGTTCTATGTTGCAGGCTGGTGCTGCTGCTGTGTGTAACCCTCTATATAACCACACGCTGTGTGTGTAACCCTCTATATAACCACACGCTGTGTGTTTAACCCTCTATATAACCACACGCTGTGTGTTTAACCCTCTATATAACCACACGTGTGTGTGTTCTATGTTGCAGGCTGGTGCTGCTGCTGTGTTTAACCCTCTATATAACCACACTGTGTGTGTGTAACCCTCTATATAACCACACGCTGTGTGTTTAACCCTCTATATAACCACACTGTGTGTGTGTAACCCTCTATATAACCACACGCTGTGTGTAACCCTCTATATAACCACACGCTGTGTGTAACCCTCTATATAACCACACGCTGTGTGTAACCCTCTATATAACCACAC